GAATTTCTATTTATATCTACCGGATGCTTGATCTTTTGGTAATTTGTATCTTTAATTTATGTCCAACACTTGAAAATGCAAAAGTTCAAATCCATGGTTTTGACCGATTGGTCTTTCAGAATGTACCTGGAATGCAGTGAACTTGAATGGAGATGCATTTTGGAAGAACCCATTTTTGAGCCATCTCTCTGGCTTGAAGGAAGCTGCATCAGCACCCCAGTTATACTCCATTCTACCCATTGAATAGGGAACATAAGTCACCATGCCTCCTGCTCTTACTCTCGTTCCATCAGGCAAAACATCATCCTCCAAGATGCCCTTAGGGTCCTGCAATCAGATTACCTCATTTCATTAAGTTTACATTCAGTAGGATCTTCAAAAACCGATGAGTTTTTATGCTTTTTGTAGTTTATATCACTAATTTTCATGATCGTGTGAACACTAAGCATGCTCAGGAAGAATTTGTGATATTTAGGATGCTAAAAGATGCTGATCAATTAATGGTGGTTGATATCAACCATATGAAACTGTTTTCATGTGTACCGCATTACCTGAGGGACAGCAGGGTACAATCGAAGTGTTTCTGTGACCACAGCATGCAAGTAATACAATTTTCCCAATGAATCGTAAGACATGAGCCTAGCGAATTGGATTGCTCTCTGATTGAATGTTTGTGGATCCTCTGCGTTGTACTGATTCAATGAGACATTCTCTTCTTTTGCCCAATCTTCTTCAAAAGCTTTAGCTCGGAGTAAAGCTTTTCTGCTACATGTTCATGAGTCATGATCATGTATATTGCCCAAGATAGAGTCGTGGCGGTTGTGTCACGGCCAGCAATCACAAAGTTCAGAACAATGTCTCTCAGGCTTTTTTCAGTTATATTGCTTTCAGGATCTTGGCCTAGCTGAATGAATCTCGACAATATGTCATGCTTAATCTGGAAATTTTCATCATGAGAAGAGTCAGATAATGGAAAAAAAAGGAACATTATTCCCTAAGTTTTCTGAGAATTTATAAGGAAGGCTACCAAGCATAAAAACCAGAGGTTGCCACCATCTGGACGGTGGTGATGTCCGGACGGTGGCTAAACCGCCTTTCCCCCTCCTCTCTCCCTATTGGTCCATTTAAGCAACAACAAGCTCTGATTGGCCAACCTGGGTGTCTGCAGCCTTAAAACCTCCTTCCAGCTCCTATAAATAGCCTATTGCAGCCATTTCACAAAGGAAATCCACCGAAGTTCAGTCTAGTGAAAGAGGGAAGGAAGGAGAGAAAGAAAAGACGAGCGAAGCCCTACCAGAATCACTTCTCAGCTAGAATTTTCTCTACTTCTACATTTCTGTTTATCCTTTCTACTTGGAGGGTTGAACCTCTCCCACTTTTGTGCTCCAGTTGGTAATAAGAGTGACAGTGTTTTAGTTATTCCTCAGGGATGGACGTGTTATACTTTATTTTCGGTTGTAATGGGATCATCTCACTCCTTGTGCTCGTCTATAACAATGAGTTGTGATTAGTCCATTTATACTATTTAAGTTATGAAAATGCCGATATTTTATTTATGTGTTAAATGTTTATACCTCCCTCCCTTAATTGATGGATGTTTAAATTTATAATATGTTCATGATTATGAATACTGAGCAAATCCTATTGATATATTCCATTCTATCTATTATTATTACATACTTCAAGCATGATACGGTGATGCACATAGTTGGGCTTTATGTAACAGTTGAGAGATTGATTATAGATGGGTTAACTCTCGCCATAGCCAATGTTTTTGATTCAATGCATAAACTAGAACTCCGTCATCATTGAATCATCAACCTGCTGATTGAATAGCTAGAGTAAACCTTTTGAATAGTTCACCTTCGGGTTTACTAGGGTTATTTGATTGATACATGATAAATAGACCTTAAAGCTAACCTAACCAGTTGTTGTGTTATGGTTCGATGTATATCAAACCTGTCGGTTGACTTTCCAGTAAAATGGTAGTTAATTGTGGTAGGGTGACATTTTCATAAATAAACAACATGAAACATGTTGACTCCCCACGTTGGAGAGTACCTTGTTATTAGTGTTTTTCAAAGTTTTAGTTAAATATTTATTTGAAAATTCTAAGCTCACACCACAAGCTATTTTGTTGCACACTATATACACGACAACTTTACCATTTCTATTTTGAATACTGACAGTTAGCTCCTTATGGGTTCGACCTCGGACTTAACCGAGAAATATTACAATTTAACCACAAAATATTAAAATTTAACCACTTATACTTGGGTGTATGACATAAATCAGGTCAAATCAGCCTCCCATAGGTTCTAGAGAGTACATCCCCAT